AGTAAATAATCTAGTTTATTTTTATTAAAATCAATTATGATACTAGGTTAATGTATAGTACTGTGTTTCAGAGCACACCAATAATAAATCATATTCGGACGCCATAATCAAATAAACTTTAATGTAGTATATTTATGGTGGATTTAAATATGACATAACGCCACTTTTTTTTAAAAGAATAAGAAGTTTATTCCAAGCACACCAATAATAAGTCATATTCGGGTGTCATAACCAAATAAAAATTATTGAGTGTAACAAACATACTAATGTAGTATACTAATGTAGTATATTTACGGTGTATTAGATATGATATAAAGTCATTCCTTTTTATAATAATAACGATTTTATTTCAAGTACACCAACAATATTTATATTTAGAACGATTATAATAATTAAGGATAATTGCGGTGTAATTACATAATGTGTGCAAGATAACGTCATTTTATAAATAGATCAAAGATTCCAAGAGAACCGAACAATAACCACATTAAGTAATTAAATCAGATTAATGGATTGTAACAATTTAGAACCTACGCCCAGGGCTAAGAAAAATATAAATACAACGAGATTTGGAATTATTCCAAACCATCAGTTCAGCGTATAAAGCAAAAGAAAAAAAACCAGTTATTTAAAATATTAAACATATACAGTTACTAGCAAAAAAAATAAAAAATAAACATGAGCGAATATCAATCTAGCTTCTTTGTTAATCGTGCTTGTGTCTTTATAAATTCCGGAAATGATCCCATGATTCAAAATCAGGTGATCGATAATCCGCAACTTATTAAACTTCCATTTCCACCAGAAATTAATCCACAAGATTTAGTTATTTTTCACCAAAATGGAAAAGTTCCCAAACCTCCTAATGCTTTTATGATTTATCGAAAATTATTTGTTGAAACTGCTCGTGCAAGTGGTTATAACTTGCCAATGAATATTATTTCTTTAATGGTATCTAAATCATGGAAACAAGAAGTTGAAGAAGTAAAAAATGAATATAAAAGAATCGCAAAAGAAGCTTTTGATTATCGTAATGAATTATTTCCTAAAATAAAACCTCAAAAGAAAAGAGACCAATGGAAAACTGTTTCATTTGATAAACCTTCTGTTCGTAAAGTTAGAACACCTAAACCTATGAAATCTATCAATAAATCGAAATCCACAAAACATAAACAACTTGAATCTCCCACATTCGAACTTCAAGCTCCCAAACTTGATGATTTAAGTGATATTGATATGAATTCACCAATTTTTGACCTCGATTTATTTACAGATTGGGCAGACTTCTTTAACAATCAAAATATTTATCCGAGTCCTGATTTATCAATAACTTCTAGTAGTATTTCTAGTAGTACTTCAAGTAGTACTTCTAGTAGTCCTAGTCTAAATAATTTTGAATTTCCAATTCAAGCAGATCAACAAGTCAACGACAATGACATAAATAATCTTTTATTCATTGATGAAAATCATCAGTCACCTATATATGATAGTCAATACGGACTTGGAATTTTTGATTTCTCTAACATTAACGTTAATGAAATTTCCGATGAATTCTTTGATATTCCGAATAATTACATTTTAGATGATTTGGTCAATTCTAATGACCAATCATCTTTTTTACCTAATTTATTAAATACAACGACAAGGATAAATCAAGATAATAATTTAAACGATGCATTAATTGCTTATGAGATGGGTTTTAATTACCCTATATAAAAAATTACATTATTTTAAAATAATTTAAAATTTTAACACACAAGTAAATTAAGCTTTATGAATTCTATTTTTATCATATTTATGCATCTATGCTATTATTCTTCTTATATGAAACAAGTATTATGTTAATTTTAAATTTCTATGCAACAATTTCTATGCAACAATTTTTATGAGAAAATTAAGATATGAAATAAGAATTAATTGAAAAAAAAAACAATTTTAAATGTAAATATAGAGATTTAACATAGATTATTTAGATTTTGTATTTTAATTTATCATAGATTTCTTTATTTTATATATTAATAATAAAATTTATAAAAATTTTTAATTAAAAAATATATATATATAACTGGTTATATTATTATTATTATTTTAAATTTATTTATTTATTTAATCCATAGTTCCTTTTTAGTACGCATTATGAGGAAAATGTTGAACACATTTTTATAAATGAGTACAAATTTTATGTTATGTGAGCTAAAATTTCTAATCCGATTCATTGGTTAGATGTATGTCCATATGATAAATGACTCGCCAAATAAATGTCTATAATGCATATAAAGCATTAAAAACTTGGCGAAAAAAAAACAAAATAAATGAATTATCGGATTTAATAATAAAATCCGTAGATATCAATGTCGTACTTTAGAATGGAATTAAAAAATTCCACATAAATATAAACATAGATTTTAATAGAATTTAAAACGTGCTTGAATTGTTAAAGAATTCCAATTCAACTTACAATAAAATCAATGAAATCAATGAAATTAAGAGTATTTCAAATTATATCATCATCGAATAAGTTGTTTAAATCGCTTTAAGATAAGGTTTTATTCAGTTGCAAATTAATTAATTTAAAAAAACTTACATAAAGTTTTCACATCTATGGTTAGTGACTAATCCCACAGGGTACATTCATTTAAAATGATATTTGTTACACGCGTATTTGCAATTACATTTAATATTATCATCATATTTGTAAATATCTACTAGTAAATACAGTATTATTACATAATAGACACCTCTCGAACACTTATAAGCGTTGGAGGGATACAGTTATTCTGGATATAATGAACCCTTTTATAACGAACTCTGGATATAACGAATTCTAACGTGAAATTCCATAATAATTCGGTATAGGAAAACGTATTAATTTTCTATGAACTGTCTATGAATTCCTATGAATTTCATATTATGATAAATCTTTAGCTCGTTCGTTATAGAAAGAGTTAATTGTATTATTTAATTCTGGAAACTTATCAGAACCCAACGGAAACAATTTGTAGAAACCGAAGCAATTCTAACAATGCCGGATTTGCATCCAAGTCTATATGTGTGATTCTCCAAAACTTGGAGGATCTTGTGGGGGATTATCTTTCGATCGTTATGTTTGTTTTCCTGGATCTTGTAAAACCCTAATACAATAATCAAAGTCTTTACATGGTATGTTATAAAGGTTTTACGTCGACTATTAGTCAATTTGTTACAAATATTTGGGAATTAAAAAGTGAAATAAGAAAAAGAAAGTAGGAAAAAAATTCATCATTACGATATCTCATGACGATACTTCATGACAATATTTCATGATGACGATGACGACATGATGCTAACATGATGTTACGTACATCGATCGATTACACACTTATTGCAGTATCGAATTTAAAATCAACATAAGTTTTTATTAAACTTATCTATTATAGTATCAAATTTAGAATCAACTTAAGTTACTTTATTAACCTGGACTAAAGTAAATTCTAAATTTCGTTCCGAGGTACGGCATCGTTAAATTTAACAAATACAAAAATGTATAAGGGATCCAAGTTCTAATTTAAATGATCTTAATAATGATCGTCTAACGTTAATTGATTACAATTATATGAAACCGTATTTAATCTTCAACTGGATAGTTTGTTACTGTAATACATAATCTGATCTTATGTAGTACGGTTTATATTAAAATTAAAGCTCTATGCCGATACTTTGTTATCCGAATCTATTATTATCAACGGATTCAACAGATTGTGTTAAGAATCACAAACCCTATATTAATATGATATTAATATGAGGTGTGTTCCAAAATTATCCTAAAAAGGAAGTATTTAATATAAACAACGATATGCTGTCTTTATGTTACTTCTCATAGTGCAAGACAAGAAAGTGAATCAGATAATGTATAAAAAGGATGCCGTGTCTGAAGACAATAACTTTTTTAGAAAAAAAAAATATATATATAAAAACAAGTTTCCGCTTTCCTAACAAATTAATCCCCCATTTTTTTTTTCGGCATTAAATAAATTTGCCGATTAAGTTCCTTTCTTTTTATTCTTATTAAAAATGGACAGGTTCCTTAAAATATATCTAAGCTGCCTGTTAGCACTTGTAATTAGTGTTAGCCTTTCTCTTGCTGCTCCATCGCCGACTATCCCTATAGGTGATACTATTTGGAATAGTGGTGATAATGTATTTTTACTTTTTATTTTAAAATATTCTTAAATATTTTCAAATATCTATGTGAATTTATTTAATCTTAAAAGAAAATAATGAATTGACCTAATTATTGTATCCTTAATTTTTATTCATAACAAAAGGTAACGGCAATGTGGACGGATGTTGGGGATCCAAAAACTTCTACAATGTCAGCAATAAAAGTCCAATTCATGACAGGTCCAGACGATCAACAAATTCCATTAGTAACTCTTGCTGAAAATTTGACAAACACCGCAACATCTTTAAATTTTATTGTGCCAGCACCCAGTTTCGTTGGATATTATCCGGGCAAAATTTATTTTTTAATGTTTTCCGATCCTGCAAAACCTGGTATAGGTGTTAGTTGGAGTACTAGATTCACCGTGCTTGAAGCTGGTAATAGTAATCCACCCGCGAATTATACTCCAGGAACACCCTGGACCTTCACTAGTATGTTACTTTCAAAATCAAAAAAGAAAAGATTGAATTTATTTGTAATTAAATTTAATTACTCATAATTATTTAAATCATAATTATTTAAATCAATGTTGATAACGATTAAAAGAATCTCCAAGTACTCCTGCAACTCCTGCTCCTGTAATTGCACCAACAACAGTGCAACAGGCTCAAAACCCGGCTATGACGACTCCTCCTCTCGCATATGCACCCCAATCATCTATGATGTTACAAAATCCTACGTATGGTGATGTAGGTTCTTTGCCTACTGATTCACCTGGTTCATCATCTAACCCCTCTCCTACTCCAAAAAAGTCTTCGGGGTGTGACAGTAAATTCCTTAAAAGCAATGGAAAATTCTTGGTCGTTGTAATGAGTTTTATTTGTGTATTTTTGGCATATGGAGTGTAGATTCACTTTACTGTAGATTCACTTTATTGTTAGGAAATTTTTAATTAATGTTCTTCATTAGATTTTATATTAACCACGATGCTAGATTCTAAATTTATTAAATTTATATAACTAATAATTTATATAGTAAAAATGTTGTACGTACGTACTTAGGTATTTTTAAACAATGTAATACAATATGTATAAATTTAATGTATCATTAGCTCACATACCCGGTGTTAATATTTTTAATAATTAACGTTTAGTGCAAATGAGTTTTTTTTAATTATAAATTTTGCATGCGCAACGTCCTTGCATAAAGATAATGAATTCAGACGTACATACGTGCGTGCGTACGTAGTACATAATCTTTGATATACTCATTGAATAAATGCTTGAATATGTTTAAAATTTGTTACGTAGTCGAAAGATTAACGTTAACATTAATGTTAACGTTAAGGAGTTAACGTTAACATTAATGTTAACGTTAAGGAGGTTAACATTAACGTTAACGTTAAGGGGTTAACGTTAACATTAATGTTAACGTTAACTCCTTAGCGTTAATATTAATGTTAAGGGTTTAACGTTAACATTATCGTTAAGGGTTAACGTTGAAATACAAATTTAGTAATTTCTACAAGCCACTCTATGTTTACAAACAGTTTAACGTTAATGCTAGCTTCATTCTTTCACGTTCAAGAAATGCTTATCATTATGTTTACGTACGTACGGTCCTATATCACAGCCACTATATACAACTAAATACAATATAGCCACCACCACGAAAAAAGATTTTTTTTTTTTTTACTGTGTCTTTGTAGTAATAATTTCTCATATTATTATCAAAACAACTTGCTAAAAATTGGTTATAAATAATAATATTATAAAATGGTTAAACCTTCAACAATTATAAAAGCTTCGAATATATTAGCTTACTTATTGTTTCTTGCTGTAAACATTATTTGGGGATTTGGTCCTAATCAGGTAATGTTAACTTGGTGAAAATTTTGTATATTATTATTATATTAATCAAATATTATTAATTTTTTTAATTTCATGAAAACTTAGGGAAAATCTCCTTATAATCATGATTCAGTTAATACATATATTAACCCGGCTTTCTTCACTTTTTATATTTGGGCTATTATTCATCTCTTCCTTGCTGGATTTGGTAAATATAACAATATATTATTTTTAATTTTTAATTGATAAAATTCTTACGTACATATTTCGATTACTTGCATATTTCAATTAATTCATGCATATTTCAAATTTAGTCATATATCAACTCTTTGAAGCTCATATCGAAATAATTGTCAATGGCATTCAATGGAACTTTGTTGGTGTCACGTTACTTAATATTCTCTGGCTGGCTTTATGGGTATCTCCTTTTCTTATCGCTATACATATATATATATATTGCATATTTATATTCTATGTTTATTGGCTTTATTTAATCTAATCATCATTATATTTATTATTTATTTAATACTAATAGCAAGAAGATTTAATCATTATATCATGGGTAGTGATATTAGTAATTACTTGGCCAATTTCTGTTATCTATTGGACACTTAAAGAAAAATATCCTTCTCAAGACAAATATGAACTGTTCTTAATCCATATTCCTTTTTCCCTTTATCATGCTTGGATCTTTGTTTTAACAATACTTACCACTTTTGCTTCATTTACTCCTTATAAATCTAATATTAATGATGAAGGTCCAACTATTGTAGTTCTAGTTTTAGTAATAATAGCTTTAATTTTAATGGAAGTTGTTGCTATTGTATATATTGAAAGATTTAAAGATGTAGCTGGTGCATCAATCATTGCTTGGACTTTATTTGGAATAGCTGTTGAACAAGAAGATTTATTAATTCATTGGATTGCTTTAGCATTGATGGTCTTGTGTGGTTTACATATTTTTAAACCTTATATGATGAAAATGGTTCGTAAAGATAGTGGTAGTTCAATTTTTTCTTTCAAATAAATTAACTGAGTATTTATCATCAATTTTGATCATTCAAATAAATTAAAATCATTATTTATTTTTAATCACTTTATATATAATTGTGTTAAAAATAATTATGTTAATTATTTATTCAATATTTTTTTAAAGAAATTAATAATTATGGCAGCTGAAACTGAGATTTTGAAATATTTTAATAGGTATTATAGATTTAAATAAAGTTTCCCAATCTCAATTTCAGCCGCTACAATAAATTTTTTTTAATACCAAAATTAACTGATGGAAATTTTTATTTATTTGCTTTTTTTTTTTAACCAATATGAAATTTATATAATTTAGGCCAAATTGAGCGTTACCAACTAAAACCTTAACCATCTGATCAAATCAAATTTCTAGATCAAGTTGCAAAAATACACACAAACCCTAACATTAAATGTTGGCGAAATTTTTAGGTTGACCCAATCCTGGTGACATTAAGTTTGAATCTCCTTAATTGTGTCGATTTTGTGTGATTAGGAAAAATCGTAGCTTAGTAGGCGTACGCGCGTATGCATCAGTTTTAACAGAAACTAAAGTGAAGTATCAAGCACTATTCTTTATAAAATTGAAAAGATTTTTCTAAGTTATCGTGTCGTTTTAATATTGAGGCGTTTTTTTTTTGTATCAAGTTCGTCAGATTGTGAATCTGCGTTAAACGGTAAGAGATTTTTTTCATATTGACTTTCGAATGGTTTCGATTTTCGTACAAAATCCCATGGAGAAATAAACTAAGTCCTAAAAAAAAAGAAAGAAAAAAAATAGAGTAACAGGTGAATAAATTATTCAATCGTAATTTAACTTGAAACGTAACAACTTACCAAATAAAAATACGTAAAAGCCTGCAATAGAACACCAATAACACCTAGTAAGCTTAAAACCTATTTATCAAAATAGTGATTGTTATTGAACTTTTTTTTTTAAAAAAAAGCAAGGTTAATTTACATAGCTACTTACAGTTTGTTCCTTTTGCAGTATAATAGGGATGGCAAAAAAATATTTTTATCCATTTTTTCACCGATTTAAAACAGGTGATTAGAGTTTGGAACCGGGTTTATTTCGATTAAAACCGGATTTAGCATATGAGTGCTGTAGAGTGAAAACCTGGAAGTGAATCTTTATGTTTATCACTGTAGCGGACTTAGTCTAATAAAGACAAAGTCCACTACAGTGATAAACTTAAAGATTCACTTCCAGGTTTTCACTCTACAGCACTCATATGAAAAATAAACCCGGTTCCAAACTCAACAATAAGACCATTTATATCTTCATATACTGTACACTAGTTCTACTAAACTCGGTAGAAAGGGAGTTTAACAAGTTGTAACAGTACTGTCTCATATTGATACATTTTTGTTACAACGATAAATAGATTTCTGTAGAATTTTTATGAGGTCACATAACTGCTAATATTTAATAGATATCAGATATATATTATGATTATAGTATGCTAGTTTTATATACTCAAATGCGATTTTTATAGTATACTCCACTACTTTATTGATACTTGTAAATTTTCTACCATAGTGACGTTAACAAGAATGACCAATACATAGACTACTCATTGCCTGATTACAAAAAGAAAATTTGATAATTTACTTCTCATTATTATCCTACATTAAGGAGTGCTACTATTATTTTTCAATAGCAAGAGACGCATTCTTTTTAACAGAAGGTAGAAATGAAGTATCAAGAACGTATTCTTTATAGAATTGAAGAGATTTTTCTAAGTTATCGAGTCGTTTTAATATTGAGGCGTTTTCTTCTGTATCAAGTTTGTCAGGTTGTGAATCTACGGTAAACGGTAAGAGATTTTTTTCATATTGAATTTTGAATGGTTTCGATTTTTGTACAAAACCCCATGGAGAGAATAAACCAAGTCCTAAAAAGAAAAGAAAAAAAAAATAGAGTAGCAGGTGAATAAATTATTCAATCGGAATTTAACTTGAAACGTACAACTTACCAAATAAAAATACGTAAAAACCTGTAATAGAACTCCAAATACCACCAATAACACCTAGCAAACTTAAAATCTATTTACCAAAATAGTGATCGTTATCAACTTTTTTTTTTTAAAAAAAAAAACAAGGTTAATCCACATAACTACTTACAGTTTTGTTCCTATTAGGATGGCAAAAAAACATGTTTAACATTTTTCACCGATTTAAAACAGGTGATGATTAAAGTCCAAATAGTCAAATTTGGATTTGAATATATTTAGGTTCATAATCATCACCTGTTTTTAATTACGTAATAAAAAACTTTCGCTATCCTTACCACATAGCGCTGCATATAGTACCCCTTGACAAAGTATCCCCATTAAATAGTATCAGGTACTAATCAATTGTAGATTCTATCCTGTTATATGATCTAATACTCTCTTTAGTATACCCTCCATGTATACGTAGTATTCTTCTCTTTACACAGTCCCTCCTTGTATAGTATCCCTCTCTTCACGCAGCACCCTGGGGGTATTAGTAATAATAATTCACCTGTGATCTTGATATACTGTCGAGTGATTATTTAATTAATATTGGATTTCTTGTAAAAGACCGGGGTACTGTATGCAGCGTCGTACGGTATTATCTAGGGTTGTTAATGGAGTGCTCCAGACTATAATCAAACATATAATCCACTTCTGAAGTGGGTTATATGTTTTAAGATACCCCGATCTCTATATCAAGATCACGGGGTATTTAGCCAAAATACCCTTATCGTATGTGTACAAGCAGAAACTTCGTTTCCTCTAATACCCAAATCAGGATATTTTTATTACTTTTAGACTGGAGTACTCCATTAACAACTCTAGTATTATCATTAATTATAAATGATAAAATATTGATAAAACAGATTCGGTTTAAGATTATTTTACTTTTGCTCTTTTTCTTCCGTTATAAAAGCGTTAGAGTTAGGTTCAACTTCAATCCGTAACAGTGTATATAAAGCTTTGTTCTCTGCAGTTATTAATCAATAATAGCTTAGCGTTAGAATAAATAAAGAACAGTTTTTAATAAAAATATTCTTACGGTTAGGAAATTCATCTGGGATAGTTTCTATAGTTGGCGTTAGTAAGTAAATAATCATGATGTTTTCGAGAAAAAATTTAATGAGAATTTCATAACGAAATTGTATTTCGTGATATAGGGAGCAAAAAAAAAGATAAATTTATCAAATCATTTTTTTTAGATATAGCAATTTTTGCGTTAAACACCGCTGACGTGTTTTAGTAAACCAACCGTCTCATTATGATAGCATGACGAGGATTACTGTAAGATATTGGTTTCAAATGATAGATCAACTTTTTTTAATCGTAAAGAATCTTCATGATTAACATAATAAGCAAAAGCTCTGCTGTAATAATCTTCATTATTGACCGTATCATTTCACTGACCGACAAGTTTATTTCACCGACAACCCATTTCCCCGACAAGTATTTTTTTAAAAAATTGCACGAAAATGACCAGAATTACTTTGTCAGTGAAAATAAACTTGTCGGTGAAATGAAGTGATTGTCGCACCACTCTTCACAGCACATGTGTGACACGATATGCTACTGCTGTTCTTGAGAATCAAAATTCTTATTATAGTTATGAAATACCCTAATGTAAAAAAACTCTTACGTATAGTTGATTCAATATAAGACTGTTGAGAATATCTTATTCTACCGAAGTAGCTTAAAAAATCCGGAATTATATTATATTTGATGGTTCTAGTAAATTTCCAATAATATCCCTACAATTTTTTTAAAAAAATGGGTAAAATTTGCAGATTCGTGATTTTCAAAAGTTATTAAATATACATACAGTACGTGATAAATAATATGCATTTTTCAAAAGAAGTAATTCCTCAAACGGAGTAAACGTAGGCATCGATGACTCATGATAATACGGATCATATTCTAATCATTTATTTATCTTTGTATTATTGCTACCAAACTCATAAAGCAAAAAAGAACTTCTAATTTAGAAACTTACCTTTATCAAATGCAAACATAAACAAGGAAAAATTTTGATAGGAACTATTATAAGCTGGATCCGTGATAAATATATTAAGATCAACTGTTGTACATCCCGTCTCAAGTGTTACATTGTAATTTGGTAAAAATGCTCCAAAATAAGGTCGATCGGAAGAATTACGCTTAATAGTATTATTGACGTAGTCGCCACAATCATATAATTCTAAAAAAAAAAATATTATTACTCACTTGGTGTAAAAGCTTAGTAATTATAATCATGAAATACTCACGTTCGATATAAGTGCCATTAGACAAAGTACATTCGACGATAAAATTATGTTCATTAGAAAAATAGATATCTATATTGGTTTTAAAATTTTTTATACGTTACATGTAATCTTAATTTAAAATTAATTTATTATTAACAATTTCATTACTTGGTAATGGCACTTTATCAACTGTGGTGATGTCCATACTGATAGTATACTGTTCATTATACACTTCTAAGCATAATCCTACAAGTATAGCAATGAATAATCCTATGGCAATGAATATAACAACAATTCGAAAAATTAAAAGCAACTTTGGTTCATTTTTGTATATTTTTCCAAAAAAGTCGATAAGCATTTTTATTTATTATTGATAATGATTTTATTTCCTCTTTATTTATTAGGAGAATATAAAGGCAAAACACTAAGCTGTTTTAACATTCTTTAAATACGTAACAATTTTCGGGTTTACAAACTATATATGGGTGCTGTCAAATGAAAACCTGCCATTCTAAAAATAGATTTCTACGGACTTTAAATGATACTACTATGTGATCAAAAAAACATTATAATTCATTATTCTAGTCAGATTAGTTAAATCCCCGCATTCCGTTGTCCATAGAATTATATTTTTAAAACTAGGTCTTAGGCCCGGGCGTTGCCCCGGGAATAGATCTTAATTAATCTAGGTCTTAGGTCCGGGCGTTGCCTCTGGAATAAATCTTAATTAATCTAGGTCTCAGGCTCAGTGTTGCTCCAGGAATAGACCTTATTTAATCTAAATCTCAGATCTGGATGTTGCTCTGAGAATAGATCTTAATTGATC